CCGCGGGAGGAGGCTTTTGTCTGACACAGTGGGCAGACACTGTAGGAGGGCACCTTTGTCCTGCACAGCAGTAATCGCTCTGCAACAGAGAATTATGGTGATTGCAGAGCTCTTCTCTCTCCAGACACTCTGCTTTCAGATGGGGGAATTTGTCAGCCCTGCTAGGTGAAGAGCTGCTTTTCCTGAGTGGAAGTGGAAAGGGAAGACAGTGAAAGTGCCTTTGCATGTGTGCATGCAAATGGCCCTCAGCATCATTCACATGGTCATATTGCATGACTACCCTTGTAGGCACCATTTCCACTTTCAATCTTTGCTTTTCCTCTTCCCTATTTTTCCTACCCATTTAGGCTGCTCTTTTAATTATTATTTCTTTGTTTCTTCTTATGTTTGCACTATCTCCTGTTCAATATGCTATTACTATGTTCAGTATCTATATTCTCAGTATTCTTTCAGATGACTAATAACCACATTTAAAAGACTTGAGCCCAAGTACCAATCCTTCTGGGACTTCATAGGTATATTTTCAACCCTATATTATTACTTACTATTTGTCTTCTCAAATGCTTTAACCACTTCTCCAAAACTGTGCCAGTTCCCATTTTCTAGAGTCTGTTTTCTGAGATAATGTACAATGGGAGAGGCATAACTTGACGTCTGTGAGATGGGATGGGATGGGATGGAATGGGATGGGATGGGATGGGATGAGATGAGATGAGATCAGATCAGATCAGATCAGATGAGGTGAGGTGAGGTGAGGTGAGGTGAGATACGAGACAAGATGCTGAGTCTGGACCCCGTAGACATGTGATGTGTACTGCAGCTGCTGGTGGATATGGTGCTGGCAGCTAGAGCCAGTGCAGGCATGGCAGCACACATTTGGGAGCTGCATTACTGTAGATGTCAAGTGTTTGGGGGCCCCTTGACTTGCATAAAGCAACTGATTTGCAAGTGAGAGGTAGGAGTGATCATATCTCACTAGGGCAGTTAGGGTCATAATCCATTTTAAGTGATTACACTGGTTCTCACTGCCTCAAGGTTGCCACACTGACCTGTGTCGAAAACACAGCAATGGATAAGTTTCTCACCTGCTAATTTTCATTATTCAATAAAGTTTGGGTTTTATCTGTTCCTGTCAAATTTAAGCCTGTTGTGTCTGCTGTTATCCTAGAGGTGCTTGTGATTTTTTTATAATGTTGATCTCTTTCTTTACTAGTATTCAGACATAAATTTTATGTGTGGTAGTTAGTTTCAATTAATCCTCCTTTTCTCAAATTAGAAATTTCTTTTATTCTCATTCCCACCCAGTCCTCTGGTGCTTACCTGATTGTACATGAAATAATTCTCAGAAATAATTGCCAGTAGTCCAGCAAGTTCATTAACTGATTCCCTGAAGACCCACATATGCATGTCATCCAGACCTGATGATTTGGATATTAAATTTTTTAAAGTATTCCCTTATTTTTTGTATCAACAACTGTATTGTCAAATCTTCATTATTTCTAATTGTATATCTCTTTGCGGTGCTTAGTAAATTGATTCTGGAACTTGTTCACTCTTTTACTGTCATTACTCATTTCACCTCACATATTATTGGTTCCACTATCTCTTTGGAGCTCCTTTCCAATGATGTTATGCACATGTTAAAATATATATTCATTTCTCTCTACAACTCTCCATGCTGGCAAGTGGGAGGCTGGTTTGCTTTTTGACATTTCTGTCATTTATCTCAATGGAGCTGGGACTAGGAGGGATTTATACTTTTTTTTCTGCAATTGTAGCCTTTGCATGTTTTAGAGTATTCTAGCTGTTTCCCACACTTAACAGGGTTTTTATATCTTTTCCATGCAGCATGCTCCTAAGATTTCTCAAATAATTAATATCTGAAATCACTACATGTTGTGTAACAGCCCATCAATTAATACAATATATTGAATCATGGTTTATCATCATGGCTGTTGAAATTAGTGAGCACTAAGAATATATATCTCAGAGGATCTTGTCTTTAGAACAACTGCTTCTTATTGTCTGTCTTTTAAAAATTATTACTTCTATTAAAAAATAGATGGTTGTTCATGCATTTCATTTAGATCTGTGTACTAAATACACAGTTGAGATTGCAGTTGTAAATGGTATTTTTCCTCTGGCAAAAATCTGATGGCCAAAATCTGTTGTCACCCTTGGGACATAATTCCACTTGCTTTGGTTGAATTTTCCAAGCCTTTGCTATATAAATCATAAATGCACAGTGTGTCAATGTTAAATTTTTAGAGGTCTCCCTTTAGTAGTAGTTAAATGTGAATACGTAAGGGCAAAATTTGACCTTTAGAAATTACTGTAAAGGTCCAAGGCAGATACTTAGCAAGCTTTTCTTATTGCAATATTAATCAAGCAAAGAGTCATCATAATCCTGGAAACTAAATATCCATTGTAGTGATTTTATCACCAGGGAAATTGTTCATCTGCCAGTAAGATTGTTACTAGGAAAAGGAGAATAGGGAGTGTTAAAATTGCTTTATACTGCTGAATCATTGAGTCCCTCTAGACTCAAAGCTTGAATTGTTTTTTGAGAAGAGTGGGTTGAGAGGAGTTGCCACAGGAAAGCTGTAGGTTAATCAGTTTCAGTAACACTGGTGAATGTGAGCATGATCTCTCTTGGGAACATGAGGAAAGTGCATGGGAGAAGGCAGGATGAAGAAAGACACAGGGAGGCTTCCGAAACTTACTCTTTTTTTTGTTTTGTTTTGTCATTTGGTTTTTTGTTTTGTCTTTTTTCTTTATGGGTGACCCTTTTACAGAGGAGGAAGGTAGTTGATGAAAAAGGAAGAAAGGGGTGAAAAAACCCCATAGTATTCACAGCCTATATTTTCATCTTAATCCAGTGGATATTAATGAGGACCATTACAATCAAGACAGAGAATGCAGACAGGCAGAAGTGAGAAAGATGTGTTTGTGTGGGAGATGTCTGTGTAGGGACCAGAAAGCCACATGGAAAGATGTTTTGCCTTCAGGGCTTAAGAGGTGTTCACCATATGCTGTAACACAGGCATGTGGGAAGGAGGTGAAGCCCCTGTGCAGGAGTGTCCTTACAGTGTGTTAGGACAGCCTATCCCTCCATAAAATCAGCTTTGGTAGATGACTTTCGTGTGCATGGTGGCAGTGGGCGGTCATAGTATACCGAGCAAAGCCATAACCTCAGGGACATGTCTGTTAGGCTGCAGGTTTTCCTTTGCTAGAAGGAAAGCTTTATCCTCCTGCTGTTTAGGGCCACTTCTGTGTTTTCCAGGTGGGGAACAAGTCTTGATGAATATTGCTATGAGGTGTCTTATAGGGGGTGGGATAGGTGATCTGTATTGAAAGCCACCTGCTGGGTAGAGTTATAGAAACTTTTATGTTGGACAGGACCCTTGAGATCATGGAGCCCAGCTCAACCAGCACTGCCAAGTCCTACACTTGACAGGATGGACTACCTCTCAGCAAAGAGAATTTCTACAATGATGGGTTAATTTAAAGGTGGAAAGCATTTGTATAAAAGGAGCATGTGGGAAATTTCTGGAAGATGTCATGAATTGGCTCTGTACAATGAATATGGAGAGGGAGAGGAAAATCTGTCTGGGCATGTGACATGGGTGCTCTTTGTACAAAATCATCTCTTTGTGTGAGAAGTAGTGTGTTTCCAGAGAGGGTTTTTTGGAGGATTGGTTTGCTTGTGTGATGGCTGCCTTTGAGGGAGTCAGGGACGTGCAATATGACAGGTAGTGCTGCCATCAAAGTCTTTCTGGAGGGGATGGTGTGTGTGGACCCAACAAGGATGCTCCATGGATGGATGCCTAGAGGGTCCTGACAGGGATGTGGAGCTAGGTATGCAGCAAACAACATGCCAGAGCAGCCATCCCATATCCCCAGGTACTGATGGCCACCCTGTGTCCTGCAGGGACCATCATCCACCCTGGACTGCATCCCTCTCCGCCTGCCAGGCTGTGGCCACTGTGTCCCTCATTGCTGTCACCCTCAGATTGTGATACTGTCACAGAAGTGTTGCTAGGCAACAAATGTGGTTGCTGGGTCTCAACAAATAGCTGAAGGGGAAAGTGAAGTGTTGCACCATTGCAGAGTAACCATAGCAATGACCTACTATCACAGACTAAAGAATTATCATTAGCAATGTTAAAGTATCAGACAGAGGCCCAGGATCCAAAGACTACCAGGCAGCATCTCTGCATAATTGGGTTACCCAGGAAGAGGTCCCAACTCTTTCACACCCCTTGGCTCCCTATCTCCGTTATCTTGGTTTTGTTTTGGGGGTTGGTGGTGGGGGGAAGGAGGAGGGAGTGTGGTTGTTTAAATAAAACAAATGTGTTGAGGAAAGCACTGCAAAACAGTAGAAGCGTACACCAAAATAAAATACAGAGGTAAATCTATGTGCAGAGGGAAGATATAAATAGGAAAGGTCCACTTTACTGTCTCAATATTATCTGTGGGAGCAGGTGCACGAAGGATGTCTTCGTGATGCATGAGATGTGGTTCAGATTAAGTGTTCTCTTTCACTGGAAAACAGGTATGCTAGGCTAAAAGCAGTATGAAATTAAAAATAAAGAATACTAAGGATGTCTGAAAAGTAGACACTTTCTTTTTCCCAAGGTAGGGCAGATAGGTGAGGTGCTTCAATGACCTTTTATTAGCAGAGTGCTTTGGGACCTTATTTTCCCAGATATGAGACATGTTGAGGATCTCTGATTGTGATGTGGGTGGCTGTGCATGTGCGTATGTATATGTTTGTGCATGTGCCTGTCTGCATGTGTGTGCAGCTGTTCCTGTCACCTGCCCCAGAGCTCAGCAGCAGGACAGCTCTGACCCTTCCCAGGCTCCCTCCAGACCAGCTGCAGCAGCTGTGTGTCTTCTGTGAGTTTTGAGTTTTTGCATTTTATGGAGCATTTATCCTGTGAACACCCAGCAAGTCAGAGAACAACCCCTAGTCAAACTGTCACCTTTGTGTTTTGCAGGTACAGAACGCCATGAACTAACTTCTTGGAAGAGTTTTCCATCTGTTTTCAAATTCTTCAGTGAGGCTGTAAAGGCGAAGAACAGCTTGGTGAAACCAACCCAAACACGGCGCTCCAACAGGATAAAATATGAAGAATTTTAAAAGGAGGGGAAGAAAAAACCCACCACCACCAATGTCTTTGCTGCTTGTTTTCTGCAAGGAGTCTCCCAGCCCCTCATTAGATTGTTTTCTTCCTAGAGCACAGGGTCGTGATGTATACATCTAAATAGCGTTTTGCATTATTTCTAGATGAGTGCAACTGTCAAAGCAATATGGGTTCACTGGTTGTGCTTCCTGTGGACTGTAACTTGGATTTTGTGCTGCCCATCAGAGTGCAGATTAAGGCTGACAGTGGTACTGCACAGTGCAGCATGGTGCAGCTCTAATTGCCCTAGCATAGCCCTGCACCAAGTTGATGCCAGAATTTAACAGCTTCTTTGCAGTCCTGTTGCCTGCAGGATATTTTGCAGTTTCCTTTTTTTTTGAGACAGAACAAAATACAAATTACTCTTTTCTAAAACACGGACCTGACTCAAACATGTTAACCAGCCTATGATTTTACACCTAGTAGCCTTCTCTTTCTCTGGGACCAAGTGGAATTGACTTCTAACTCTCTCATTTTTCTGCTGTCAAGAGTGTCCAAGAAGTTTGGCCCAGAATTCTAAAAAGGCTCCATTGTTGAAGAGATTTTCTCTTGCTAGATCAACGGCTTTATCTGTAGATCTTCTCTTCCTTTGGAAAGCTCTACTTAAAAAAATGCTTTTCTTTAACAGGCTGGATCACACTGTGAAATATGACATAAAAAAATATAGACACACTGCATATTTTTTTGTTTATTTTTAAACACAAAAATGCTTCCATTTTCATATGCTGAGTTTGTAATGACTTGCCATCCCATGGTTATTCCCTTTTCCCTAAACTCACAGGTTCCTCCCCACTTTACCAGTCTCTCTGACAAAGGTTGGCCAGCAGGGCACTGTGTGGGGATTTCACACCATGCATAGGGGCTATGTGGATGTAGCCATAACTGTTGTGTTAGGCAGGTTTTCTCCACTAAAACTGAGGGAAAAGATGCGTTTGATAGCATGCCCAGTGAGCAAGCACTCTAGTTAAGCTCCTTTGGTGTTGATAATACTAAATTAGAGTTGTCCTTTCTTTAATGGCCATGCCCACCTCACCTCTGATACTGTTAGTGGCAAGGAGGCACCTCTCAGACATGAGTTTTGGACCCAATCCCACCCTCTCTTCATGCAGTGTGTCCAGTCCTGCAGCTGGGGACCAGAAGTGGTGGTGCGGAGCATTAAAACAAGACAGTGCCAAAGCAGGGGTACCCTTCTATGCCACAGAGCAAAAGCACAAGTGCTCATAGTGAGGTGTAAAGGGAAACCCAGCTGGGTTTGGGCCTAAATCCTGCAGGCCGGGGGCTCTCAGCACCTAGAGTGCTTACATCCATCCCTACCTGCTCATACTGGCAGCAGGGCTTCATTTCCCCAGCTGCTGCTTCTTGTCATCTTGCTGCATTTGAGCTCTGCCCTTGGGGAAGGGTGCTTGGAGCAAACCCCTGGTGGGGGCTGTGCCTATGTGGAGGAAGTGCAGTATCTGTGCCTGGCAGATTTTCTTCCTGGAGGGGAACCTATTGCTTGGGAGAGAGGACTGTGCCCGGATTCCTCTGGCTTCCGATCTCTGCCCTCACTCGCAGTCAGAGGATGCTGCTGCCTGTGGCCAGCCTGATCCCCCACTGCGGAGGTCTACAACCCACCCCTCCCCAGGTCCATGTCCACCCCAGCCCTCTGGACCCTGTGTGTTCAGGGTTAAGGTGAGAGTTTACATGGTGTGGTTTGGGTGTCTGTGCTTCATCCCACAGCAAAGGAAGATGCAGAGGCCAGGGAAGTTTGCACATGCACACAACCAGACCTGCCACTCTCCATCTCTGTGGAAGTGAGATGGACTGTCTAGGGTGCCCTAATATTGGAGGAGCAGATCTATTTTTTTAACTGTTGATGAGAAACAAACTACAAACGTTTTTACTGTAACACCATTTTCTAAAAAATCTTTCTTTACTGTGCCCTGGGCCCAGCTCACTATTATCGCTCCTGTGGGGGGCTGTAGAGCAGAGGGGATCCTCACCACTGATACTGCTCTGCTTGCAATGAACAAAAAATAAATATGCTTTCTTCTCTCCTTCTTGCACACTTGGTGTCCTTGCATGGAGCTCCACGGGAGCCGCTATCTGTGGTGGGCAGGGTGGGGGCTGCATGGGCAGCAGCTCCACCAGCTCAGAACACATGTGAGTGGGCAAGCGTGTTTGCAAATAGGACCCCGTATGGTTGCAGGGTTGGGGCTGGAAGGTGTGAGGGGGGGTGAGACTCATTTGTTCCATAGAGTGGGCTGCCTGTCCAGCCCTGTGGCTCAGTTCACATGAGCGTGGGCTTCTCTCCGCACACCCTGCATCATCCATAGGAAGCCACACAGGCGAGTATGCCGCACCATCCTCTCCCCTTTAGCTGTTCAGAAACATGAAACCGTAAAATTACGCCAAGAGAGGAGTTTTATCCGTTTTTTGGGGAGGGCCTTTTGCAGGGGGCATAGGCTAGAGACAGAGGAGGCAGCATTTGCAGCCTCAGCTGCAGAGGGTACATGGTCTGCAGAAAGAGAGGAAGGTGTCAGAGCATCCCAGCATGTGCCACCGCATTGGTGTTGCATGGAAAGGTGACAATGGTAACCCTGAAGCACACTAAGGGGGGATGAGTGTTGATTTAGCCTATTCCTTTGGACTGATGTTTTTAAAGATGCATACCACTTGTCCTCAGGCCATGATGTCTTTAGGAGACAGAGGTCTGCTGTCAACTTCCTCCTGGTTTCGTCACAGGAAAGCTCCTTGATGTGTGACATGTTGCAACAGCCTCTGCCCTAGGTAGCTTTGGAGCTACGAGTACAAAAGTGACCAGAAAAAAGCCCAAAACCAGAACAAACCCCCAAAGCAAAAACAACAACAGAAAACCAACAAAACTGGCCCTACAACAGGATCTAGGAAAACTCCTAGCTCCTTGCCACCCAAAAGGTTTGCACACCATTCTGCAAGTCAAAATGCTGCCATTAAAACTGTGGACCAATGAAAGCAGTGCTTCGTTGTCAAGAATGGAGAGCAAGAAAGAAGTGTTCCTAGCAGAAAACAGCCAACAGACCCCCAAACACAGTAGGGCTGTGTGGAAAAAGAAAGAAAAAAGGGGCGGGGGTGGGGGAAAGCAAAGGTATCCCTCATCTTCATTGTGCATACATGGCAGTGCACTGGTTGCAGTTACAGTTCTCACAGTGTGATTCTCCCAGACTCAGAAGAAGCTGCTGCTTTTCATGGAAATGTGCATTTTTCCTGTCTCTGAGAAACATCACTTACTGTGGGTAGTGAAGTATTTTTCCCCTTTAGAAATTTCATTCAGAAGTACAAACGAAAAGTGTCACATCTAAAACTGCATGGAGCCACATATTGCACCATTCTCAAGTCAACCAAACCAAAAATAACCTGCCAAGAATGTGTACATCCATCGTACACCAGGGTAGAGCTATCTTACAGAGTGGAAGGATGCATGTGTGTGTGTGTGACTGCACGCATTCATGGATATCTCGATCTCAAAAGGATGTGTGTGTGTCTGTGCGTGTGTGTGTGCATCCGCATTATGTTGATGTACTCGACAAAGTGTGAAAAATGTACTTCTAGAAAAACTTGAAAGGAGATGTCATTTATCATTGTATCATCATAATACCACAAATTTCACTTTTCTGTTCCATTTTGGATTGCATGTGTTAGAGAGTATTTCACTAGATCAGTGACAGCTCTTTATTTGCATAATTATATGCTCTGGTCTGAAGAGAAAACTAACCCCCAAATTTCATGGGTCACCAAACTGCAACAATCAATGTTTTATCACATATGCTAAGCAAAACCTAAGGAGCTATATGAAGTTTCTTGTGGATTTTTCGCTCCTCAGAAAATTAAAGATGTGCCTCCTGAATAGATGCAAAATCTTTCCAAGCTCTTTGTAGCTGAATTCCATTTGAAGGGAAAACTAGAGATTAGCTCGTAGATCTGGATTTCAAACCCACTAGCGTTCTTACTTCAAAGTGGATTCAGACAAGCAGCTTTACTGCATCTCTAAATTTTGCCATCCTAAGTAATGACATTTAAATTGTGACAAAAAATTAAACTAAAAGAAAAAAAATTGGTCAAATATAAAAGATACAATCACCCCATCTCTTATCAAGCCCATAGTGACCAGTGTGTTTAATTCCATTTATCCTGTGCAGTTTCATTGTTTCAGCTGGGTGCTGTCCCTGTCTAAAGATACGAATATTTGGTGTATGTAGAAAATCCTATCCTGAGCTGCAGAATTTGTTCTAGTCTATCAGTTGCACAATAACCACATGCTCCAGTTAGGACATACATACTCAAAGTTTCCTTCTCAATCAAAATTCCTTGTTATGAGGAGGAAAGAACCTGGGGATGAGAACTGACTGGCAGTGAAGATCCCCCCCACATCCTCCTCTTCCATCCACACTAGCACTGCCAGAAAAGTTTAGCTCTTTTTTAAAGCCAATTTAATACAATATAATAAATATAGTGCAATATAATGCAATATAATAATTCACACAAAGTACAGGAGGACCTCTTAGAAGTGTAGGTGAGCAGCACCTATCCCGTGGGACATGCCACCCACACTTAACTTCATTGCAAACAACTCGGAAAAAAAAACAAAAGCTTCTCTGGGCTTCAAGCCATAACTTTACAGTAGAAGTTTGAATGGGTTGCTGCCTTGCAGTTGGGTCCCTCTAAGCTCTTGGGAAGAATAAACTTAGAAAGGGGCCTATTTCAAGTAACATGGCCCTCACTGATCTTCTGACCCCATGGTGGGGAGAGCAGTGCCTGGGAATGAAGGAGTGCTGTTGTGTGGGTTAACCTGGAGAGAAGCACTTGTGCTATCCTATATCTGTGGCTTCTTTTTTTTATTTTTCTGACTTACCTTAACATCAACTCCAGAAGCCTTCCAGGGGGAAATGGGTTTCCAGCACAGACTAGCACCTGAGAAGTTCAAATTCTCACATTTGACTCCTGAGTGATCTCCAAACACCTGCTCCAGGCAGACACCAGCTTTTCACCGCCTCCTCGCCTTGCAAGAGGAACAAGGTGAAACATGAGTGGGAAATAAAAACAGTGCTAAAACACAAGTCTCCTCATCCCCCTTGTCTGACTGCTGTCGTGGGGGTCTGTGGTATGCAGGGACAGGGTCTGCCCAACACTGGTCATTCTCCCCAGGAAGACCCAAAGAAAGAGGAGAACCCACACTGAGGCATCCCTTGCCCCTCCACACTGTCTACATTCCTCCTCTGGAGTCAAATAAATATGAATATTCACAGAGGATTGGTCTGCAGGCTGTTTTGTGCCAGTGGAGACAGTAGCATCAATTATTTCCCACTAAATTGCAGCACAGGAAAGAACTGACCCCTCTGAGGAGAGGCCTGGGTCATCTTTTTTTGTCATTTCCGTTTCACTTTGCTCATGCCCTACCTAATCCCCTAATGCCTGGTAAAGGGCTGTCTCTAGATTCTGTCTTCTTTAAAGGTGCTATCTCTGCTTAATTACATAAGTAAGCTTCCTGCTCATCTCCCCTTCTCCTGGGACTGCTTTATGCTTTCTCCTTCCAAATCAACTTGCCAAAAAATTATGTTTTCTATAGTAAAGCACCTTCGGTGGAGGGTCCTCCACGTCTCCCCACAACATGCAGGTACAAAAATAACATACCCCGT